TATATATATATATATATATATATATATATATATATTACACAAAGGCCAGACGTGTGTTGTATATATATATATATATATATTGATTGAATAAGCCAGACGTATATCTTAATTCATGGGGGACTTCCTTCGGCTTCGTCCAATCATTACATTCACAAAAACCAGAACCATTAATAATAAATCAAACACGAAATGGAAGCAGACAAAAACGTTAAACGACATATAGGTTTCTATTAAGTAGTACTATATTGTATTGCGAAGAAAACAAAACAGTGATCGTGGGTTCAACGGCTAAGAATCGATACTTCTGTCTACTACGATAACGCCACCAAACAAAAACAAAAAAAAAAAGTGGACCATGCAAAATGCAAACAAAAGTTAAACGACACCCGTCCTACTATCCTACAATATCCCACATAAAATAAAATTTAAAAAAAAATCGATAATAGTTATAAGATCGTGTGAATCAATTAATGCCTCGTACGTGTTGTGCCGCATGGTGAATTTACATATTGGACCAATTCCCAAGGGCAACATTAAGTATCACAAACGTAACGTGTATATATATGAAGATCATAATATTCAAATGGGTTCGAGTTAAAGACATTCATGTCGGAAAGAGAGTTGGGCAAATCTACGTGGATGACGTGATATCGTTGATCGATAGGATCCACTTGGGAAATAGTCTTGGGCTATTTCTGACCGTCCGATTTTGGCCCATACGTCCTTGCATCTGCATGGCTCTCTCCCCGCAAAAAAAAAAACATGCATGCATGGGATCATGGAAATGGAGATGCACCGTGATCTACCAGGTGATTGTCTTTTTGCCTCTTTTCAGTTAGCTCTTCACTTTACCTATCTTAATCGGTGTGTATAATAACTGTACATTATATATTAATATTAGTATTGAATTAATATATAATGTACATTTAAACCCTATTTGAATACTATTTGTATCCAACAAAAAAAAATGCAATTAACTAATAGAATATTCGTTCGTCCATAACTTAGACGGGAGTTCTTCGTTTATACCTTTTAATTAGTCGCCTTTTATTCCCGTACCTTTGCATAATCTAAACGACCTTTTTGGAAGATAACGTTATTCTTATTTATTGTATGTATGACGACTCTTTACATCAAGAAAGATGAATTTGTTTTTTGTTTCTGGAAATGTTTAATTTTTTTTCGTGGGTTCGTTACTCCTTTGAACCCGAATCCGTTGCGGAATTAGACATTTTAGGGTTTGGTGTTTGGGATATCGCCAGCTTCTTATAGGGTAATTGTTCTTTATTCTCGAGTTTTGAACATGTGGACCGTGAAGAAAACTATTATTTATCATAAGAAAAATTAAGATGTTATGTGCAACCTGTTCAGATTTATTGCAACAATTGAGATGTTGTGATATAATTGGCAAATTTAGCGAGATTTCTAGATACAATATTTTCATAAATTTATAAAATTCTCCCATATGGCAATATATATATATATATATATATATATGTATACAAGTAAATTCGTGAAGCACATGGCGTGTTTGATCCGTGAATATCAAAGTCTACGATCGATGTCTGTTATTAATGCGATATACGAATCCTGATAGTTTTTGTGGGTCGGACCAGTTTCAACATGCTACATGTGCTTCGCCATAAAGGTTAACATGGACGAGTGGTTACAAAGATTTGCATATATAGTCCTCCATCAACTCTGATAATTTTGCCAGCTTCACCCTTCATCGGTCCAAAAAAAAAAAAAAAAAAAAAGAAGAGCTCACACACATATATATATACACACATACATACACAAAAAAAAATATACATACAATGCAGTGTACCTTTATATATATATATTAAAAGGATCTCAAAAGAACAATAATTGGTATACTTCATTCATTGGGTTCTACAAAAACCCACTAAAATATATGATCATGCATGGCATGCTCATGTGTTTTGCATCAAAATGCGTTTATTTGATCGGTTACATCATTCGACATACAAGCAACCCATGCTTCCATGTGTTTGGCCAACTCATCGACCGCGACTATTCAAAGAGACATCAGCTCTCCTTGTCGGCTAAAGACTCGCTTAGTTTCCTGTCGTTTTTATCTTCCAGGTTAACAATTCAAGTCGTTTTATGAATCATGAAACGGCATCTCGTCACCAATCTGGACGGGCTTTATAACGGGCTCTAAATGGGCCGTATGAAACTGTTGACTGGGTCCACTATGTGATGCCCAGGAATACAAAATCCCTAGGCTCAGATATCAAAAACCTCAACGGAAACTCACTCGCCTTTCCTTTTGATGCTCCTCCGTCTATCGGTTCGCTCGCTCCGTCGTCTCACCGCTGCTTCTTCGTCTTATCTTTTGTCTCTCTGCAAACCCTATCTCCTTGTGTCTGCTTCTTCGTTATCCACAATTTCATCCATGGCGGTTTCTCATCCCAAGGACGAAGCATATCTCTCCGCCGTCATTCCCAAGCGTATCAAGCTCTTCGAGCAGATCCAAGCCCAGCAGCTTGAGCAGCTCCAATCTCTCCCCCACGATGCGATCAAGTAATCCGATGGGGCTATGCCTATAGTATTGAGCACATGCTCGAATGGGTTCGTTGTTTGTTTTTCGATTGTTTTGGTGACCATTTCGGTATTGGGGATGTTAGGATTACATTGCCAGATGGGAGCGCGAGAGAAGGGAAGAGGTGGGCGACGACTCCAATGGAGATTGCGTTGGGGATTTCTAAGGGTTTAGCGGCAAATGCGCTGATTTCTTCGGTCAACGATGTTCTGTGGGACATGACTAGGCCTTTGGAGGGAGATTGTAATCTCGAGATTTTCACATTTGATAGCGACAAAGGCAGAGATACCTTTTGGCATTCTAGCGCTCACATTCTTGGCCAGGTGAAGTGAATGTGTCATTGTAAATTGTAATTGTAAAGATTTCATGATATGAACTTCGTTTTTGTGAACTGGTGGTATCCTCTGTGCAGGCTCTTGAGCAGGAGTATGGTTGCAAGCTATGTATTGGGCCGTGTACGACCAGAGGAGAGGTAAGAGGAATGTGCTCGTACGTGTTGTTAGTCTACTTTGTTTCAGCTTAATCGGTTGTCGGTTGTATATGCAGTTCCATGGTAGTTTTTTTAGTTGTTCTTTCTTTTGAATCTCGTAACGGGTTTAGATTTAAGGGTAGATATTTAATGAGAGAAATCGCCATAGGACGCTTTGGATTTTCCTCTGTGATGTGCAGAGTGGTGATATCATTGATTTTTATTGGTGGAATTCTCTTGCAGGGTTTTTACTACGATGCATTTTATGGAGATTTTGGATTGAATGAAGATCATTTTAGCAAGATCGATAAAGCCGCATCAAAAGCTGTTGGGGTATTGTTTCTTCTCTAGGATAGTTTAACTCTGTGTAATGTTTTTGTAACCCTCCGTGTTCAAACTTTTTTCAAGTCTTTTTGCTTCTTCTTGAAGACCTTGAACAGCAGTTGATGTTCTGATTCCCTTCTATCACCATGTTAGGAAAAACAACCATTTGAAAGGATTGAAGTCACAAGGGAT